CCTGTGCCGCCCGCGCTGGTGTTCTTCCCCGCGTGGGCGTGGGCGTTGCTCCTCTGTGTTCTTGTGTGCTGGCGATCGTGTTCTTCAGCCTTGGAAAGTCTATGGTTGTCGAATCACTGGCTTTGGAGACGCACATAATACCCTTGGCGCACACAGGTAATACACACTTATGTCGCCCATAACACAAGCATAACACCCATAATACACACGGGACGCCAATAACATGTACATAACATCTATAACAATACGCATAACAACCATAACACACACATGATACCCGTAACACACCCGCACAAATCGCACATGACACACAATTATAACACACAAACATACATAATATAGCACACAAACATACATAATACCCATAACACACAAACATACATAATACCCATAACACAAAACACATACCATAAATATAACACACACGCATAACCCGCAGCCCTCTCAGACACCCACGCACATCACCCACATACAAACCCCGCGCAACCCACTCCCTCATGAACTCAAGCCACATATTCTCACAGCAAACAGCGCATGCCACTGTTTGTCCCATTGATAGTGACAGTCATGCGAAGGTTGTCAGATTGCGTCTGTCATGTGCGCGCTGCTCCTCCTCGGCCGCCGGTGTGCGAGGCCGGTTCGGAGGGTCTTGAGGAGAGGGATTGGGGGTTTGGGGGTGGGTGGGCTGTGTAAGTGTGTGTGTGTGTGGGGGGGGGGGAGGGGAGTTGTGGGTGGGCGTGCGTGTGTTTGTGTGTGTGTGTGTGTGTGTGTTGTGTTTGTGTGTGTTGTGTGGGTGGGGTGTGCGTACGTGCGTGTGTTTGTGTGTGTGTGTGTTTGTGTTGTGTGTGTGTGTGTGTTGTGGGTGGGCGTGTGCGTGCGTGTGTTTGTGTGAAGTGTGTGTGTGTGTGTGTGTGGGTGTGTGTGTGTGTGTGTGTGTGTGTGTGTGTGTGTGTGTGTGTGTGTGTGTGTGTGTGTGTGTGTGTGTGTATGTGTGTGGGTGTGGGTTTGGGAGTGTGTGTATGTGTGCTTGTGTGTGTGTGTGACTTTGTGTATTTGCCAGTGAGTGTGAGTGTGTGTGTGATTGTGAGTGTTTGTGTGTGTGTGAGTGTGTGTGTGTGTGAGTGTGTGTGTGTGTGTGTATATACATGCACAGGAAATAGAATATACGGTGAATATATAGAAATGAGCAGATAATTCGCATCTTTCGGCTGACGACCAAAATGGCGGACCAGAGACTTACTTTCAGATTTACTACAGAGTCAATATGCAGCGAAGAAGAAGAAAAAGAAAAAAAAAGATTAAAACGAATGCTAGAGAAAGGGGAGTGGATAAAAGAAGTCGAGAAGAGAGATGTGTTGTTATTACTATTTCTAAGATGAAGAGACGTTACTGGGGGAAAAATATGATCAGAATATGAACAACAACATGATTAATATTTTCTAGATAATATTGCATAGCTGATCGCAAGTCATGTATTGCAAATGATACTCTCGATGCAAATTCCCCTCCTTTGCAACAGCCCTCACTGTCACCTAAAGTCAAATAGAAAAAATAACTTGTCACGACACGCGCCATGAGAACTGTTCGAAACACTGAATCAACATTGCAAACAGCCTCTCGTATTCTCACTTGCAATAACCCCGGATCGAAAATGCATTTCCCTTGCAACAAGAAGGCAGTTTGGGGTGCAGCTTTACGAAAGAGAGAGAGAGAGAGAGAGAGAGAGAGAGAGAGAGGAGAGAGAGAGAGAGAGATAGATAGATAGATAGATAGAGATAGAGATAGAGATAGAGATAGAGATAGAGAGAGATAGATAGATAGATAGATAGAGAGAGAGAGAGAGAGAGAGAGAGAGAGAGAGAGAGAGAGAGGAGAGAGAGAGAGAGAGAAAGAAAGAAGAGAAGTAAGAGAGAGAGAGAGAGAAAACCACCATCGAGAAAGGGTCGAAAGTTGGAGAAGGAGAATGGAAATGAGGTAAAAGAGAAAGAAAGAAAAAAAGAAAAAAACAAACATTGATTTCAAGAATAAGAGAAAAGCAAAAGAAAAGATGAAGAAGGGAAAAGGGAAAGGAAAGAAAAGAAAAGCAAAAAGAAAAGAGAAATATTAGTACGACTAAACGAAGCAAACGGAGACGAATAGCGAAGTACAAGAAAAGGGAACAACAGATGTAAATAAAACAAATTTCATTGCAATTTAGTAGAGAATGAGAAAGATGGACACCCTAGCGCTGCCGCCGCTACTTTCACGTCCGCACTTTGCCTCATCCTAGAGTTTGATCAAAAGGGCTTGATAGAAGGGTGGAAGGCGGGGGAAGGGGGGGGGGGGCGGAGGAAGGGGGGGAAAGGATGGCCTTTGATCCTTCCTCCACTTGCTGTGTCCCCTCTTCCCCCTTATCTACTCCTCCACCCTCTCTCTCTCTCTCTCTCTCTCTCTCTCTCTCTCTCTCTCTCTCTCTCTCTCTCTCTCTCTCTCTCTCTCTCTCTCTCTCTCTCTCTCTCTCTCTCTCTCTCTCTCTCTCTCTTCTCCCAATTTCCCCTCACTTTCCTCTCTCTCCCCTTTCTCCTCCCTCTTTCTCTCTTCCCCCCCCCCCACTCTCCCCGTGTAAATCGGTCTTGCCCGATCAACCTTGTAAAACCTGCAAGAACAAACTGTTGACTTTACAACTTTCGGACACGCCTGCCGAGGAGGAGGAGGGGGGGGGAGGGGGAGGAGGAAGAGGAGGGAAGGGGGGAAGGGGAGGAAGGGGAGGAAGGGGAGGAAGAGGAGGAGGAGGAGGAAGGTGAGAGGAAAGGGGGGAGGAAAGCGGGGGAAGGGAGGAGGAGGACAGAGAGGAGGAGGTTAGAGAGAGAAAAAGAGAGAGAAAGAGAGAGAGAAAAGAGAGAGAGAAAGAGAGAAGAGAGAGAGAAGAGAGAGAGAGAGAGAGAGAGAGAGAGAGAGAGAGAGAGAGAGAGAGAGAGAGAGAGAGAGAGAGAGAGAGAGAGAGAGAGAGAGAGAGAGAGAGAGAAAGGAAAGAATAGGGGAAATAGGAAGAGATAGGAATTAAGAATTGCGAACCAAAGGGAGAAAGAGCGAAGCATAACCTTAAGCCCTATTTACACCCCCTCCCCCTTTTAACCCCCTCTCATTCCTCCCTCCTCCCCTCCCTCCCCTCCGTTCCCCTCAGCTTGCAACTCGCCATTATGACCCTAAACTCACGTCATCACAAGGGTCATAATGGGAAGATAGGAGACATGGTGACTGCAACGTCAATTAGGAGGAAGAAGGAGTAGGAAGAAGGAGGATGGAGAACGAAGGAAGGGAGGAAGGAAGAGAAGGAAAGATGGAAGAGGGAAGGAGAAAGCAGAAGAGTCCTTCACTCAACCCCCAAAAAAGCCCGTCCCCCTCTCCCTTTTCTTAACCCTCCCCAAGCTCCCCCACCTCTCCCCCTTCTTAACAACTTCCCCCTAGCTCCCCCACTCCCTTCTTAACCCATCCCAAGCTCCCCCACCTCTCCCCCTTCTTAACCCCTCCCCCAACCTCTTCCCCCTTCTTAACCCCCTCCCCCACCTCTCCCCCTTAATCCCCTCCCCACCTCCCCTTCCCTCCCCCTTCTTAACCTCCTCCCCCACCTCCCCCTTTCTTAACCCCCTTCTTCACCCCTCCCCAAGCCCCCCCCCCCCCCCCCACTCAACGTCGCGTCAAGCCCATCTCGGAGCACCCAACACCGACGCCGCTCGTGTCCGGGGGAACCGGGTTGAACCGAAGGGAACCGCGCCGAGAGAGTCATGAACCGGTGAGGGGCAGGTGAACCGGGGGAGGTCGCTAGGGGAGGGGGAGGGAGGTATGAGGAAGGAGGAAAGGAGGGAAGGGAAGGAAGGGAAGGAAGGGGAAGGAAGGAGGAAAGGAAGGAGGAAGGGAAGGAGGGAAGTGGAGGAGGGAGGGAAGGAGGGAAGTGAGGAGGGAGGGAATAGGGAGGAAAGGAAGGAGGGAGGGGGCGAATGGTGGGAAGACGGGAGGGAAGGACAGAGGGAAAGAGGGAGAGAACGACGAAGGAATCGAAGGATAGAGGGAAGAAGGGAGGGAGGAGGGGGGTAAGGAGGAAAGGAAGGAGAGAAGGAAGGTGAGGAGCGAAGGAGAGGAAAAGGAGGAAGAGAGGGGAGGAAGAAGAGAAGGAGGAGAGAAATAGCGGAATCGAATGAAATATCAGAAATAGAAGGATGGAAGGGAGAAAAAGAAAGGAGAGAAAAGAGAAATCATCAAGGGAGCGAGAGACCAAAGAGGAAGGAAGGAGGAAGAGGAGAGAAGGGATTAGGAAGGAAATAAAGTGAGAGAGAAAGGCGAGAAGAAGGAATAAAAGGGAGAGGTAAAGGGAACTGCTAATTACTGTGGTCCGTTTCATTAGTCAGATTAAACGTGCATTCGATATTTGATGGAGGGAGAGAGAGAGAGAGAGAGAGAGAGAGAGAGAGAGAGAGAGAGAGAGAGAGAGAGAGAGAGAGAGAGAGAGAGAGAGAGAGAGAGAGAGATACATAGATACATAGATGGATAGATAGATAGATAGACATATAGATAGATAGATAACTGGATAGATAGACAGATATACAGATAGATAGATTTAGATTTAGAGAGAGAGAGAGAGAGAGAGAGAGAGAGAGAGAGAGAGAGAGAGAGAGAGAGAGAGAGAGAGAGAGAGAGAGAGAGAGAGAGAGAGAGAGAGAGAGTATAAAAACGAAAAGTATATCGAACGATAAAGCAAATACAAAACAATAACAAAAAAGAAATTCATAAAAAAAACTCCCTCTAAAGGACGAAGACACCCAAACAAAAACAGAAATAAAAACTAAATACTGAAAATACATTCAAAAGAAAATACCCCCTCCCCCCAAAAAAAAAAAAAAATCTAAAAGAAAGATAAAATAAGCGAAGATTATCCCGCCCCCCCCCAAAAAAAAAAAATAAATAAAGAGAGAAAGAAGAAAAGACACCGGCAAAAAAAAAAAAAAAAAAAAAAAAGATCCGACATGCGCACCGGTGACAGTTGCCAAACGCGCAATATTGAGAGCGAGGCGAGCGGACAGACTGAGGCAAGCGACATGTCTTTATTGTGGAGATATGACAGCGAAAGCCTCCCGCCGATGGAACAGAGCCTGTATTCATCAGCGGAAGTGCTGGACAGCTCTGTCTCTCCAAAATCATTTTTATTATCCCCCTCCCCTCCCTCCCCTGCTCCTGGTTCTTCTATCTGCTCTCACTCGCTCGCTCTCTCTCTCTCTCTCTCTCTCTCTCTCTCTGGCGTTCTCTTCCTCTCCCCTTTTTTTCCATTTCTGGGGGTTTGGGTTGGAGGGAGGGAAGGTGGGGGGGGGAGAGGGGAAAGTGAAACGGAGTTGTATATTTTCTCTCTCTCTTTCTACTATGTACTGTTTTGCTGTTGCTATTTTTGTTGCTTTTGTTATTATCATTATCGTTATTATTATTATTGTTATTATTAAGTATCATTTATTATTATTACAATTATTATTATCACCATCATCATTACTGCTACTACTACTACTTATTATTATTGTTATTATCATCATTGTTATCATCATTACCATTACCATTATTATACCAATAGTAATGATAATGATTATTCTTAGGATATCCATCATCATTATTTTGATATCCTTATGATTATCACTATCATCATCATCATCATCATCATCACCATCATTATTATAATTATCATTATTATCCTTATTTTATCTAATATTACCATTATTATTAGTAGTAATATTAGCATTTGAGAATGACAAAAATAATGATCGTTATCATCATCAATCTTATTCTTATTAGTATTATTATTATTAGTAATAATACTATTCATTCATTAGTGTCGTATTCATTAGCATTATCAACTAGAATTATGAAGCAGAACAAGTACTTTGATAAAGCACTGCCATTCGTTTTAAATTCCGAGCTGTTTGCCATCCATTATGTTCATAATGATGCTTGATCACTATTATAATCAATGTTTATTATTAGCAGATGTATCTGTGCTTTCAGTGCCATCACTATTACCTCCACGGTAGTCAATGTTTATCCCATTATGATTTCCCAAAGCCTTTTTATGCCTTACCCGCGTGGCTCTAACCCCCCCCCCCCTTCTCTCCCGCAGTCGGCAAGCTGGAGTCGTCCCCGAAGTGGTCGTCGGCCGCCCCCGCCACCTCCGCCCCCGGGGGAGGCAGCGGGGCCGGGGGTGCAGCTCCCCCTCACCGCCCTGGAGCGCCCTTCGTCCTGCCCCCCCCGTCCCCCTCACCACCCTCACCGCCCACTCCGCCCATTCCGTGCACCACGGCGGCAACGTGGGCATCCACTCCAGCATGGGCGGCATGCAGCAGGGCAGCCACCCCCCCCTCCCCGCCGCCCTTCTCGCTCCTCAACCACACCGTCAACAACTACATGCTCCCCGACCCCACCAAGAGCAACCTCATCTCGCAGCTCTTCTGAACCGCCTCCGACCTGACGCTGCAACCGACGCCGCGCCCGACCTCCCCTTCCACCACCTCCGCCGCCGCCTCCGCCGCCGCCGGCACCGGCCAGCGCTACCGCGTTCGCCACAGACAGACGTCGGCCGCGCCCGCGCCCTCGACGAGCAGTGCCGCCTCCTTGATATCCGATCCTTATCAGTACTATCACCACTACTATCAGAGTCGCCAAGATCCGTACGACCTCTATAACGACTGCCAGGCGAACAGTGATCCCTCGGCGTTCCCAGGTACCACCCGGTACCGCAGATAACCAGTCAGTGCAACGGCTAGCAACAATAGACGACCCTCCCCCCCACCACACCCTCCCCACCAGAAGCCTACTCAGTGGCAGTTCAGCAAAGAAGAAGAAAGACTACCATTCCCTACCTCCGGCACACGATGCAGCCTCTCACAGAGGAACCCGAGCCGACGGCTCCCACAGACTCGCTTCTCCTTCTCTCTCTTCCAAAGGACCGCGCCTGCACAGCGGGAGAGAGAGTGGGGAGAGGGAGAGGCCGACGAGAGCGTCAGCCCCAAGGACATTTTACGAGCTCCAGCAGCAACGCAAAAGGACCCCCTCCACTCCCCTTTCCCCGACAGGCTACGACGTGGCAGCGAGTGTTAACAGGTCTATAGATTTATATAACGTATCTGTTCCCTGTCCCGTTCGCCGCGAGAAAACAGCGGGAGAACCAGCAGTGTTGTTCTAAAGACGGCATTTTACAGAACCGAGTTGTATAAACACGAAATCCTGTAGCCATTGGTTTTCTCTCGAAGATGAAGGTCAGTTGAAGGAAGGATTATGTGCCCCGTAACCTAACACGATGACCTTGGAGAGAGAATAGAGCTGGGTCAAGGCCCACGATGACCTGGGATGACCTTTGCTCGGACAAATCTACATAGACTGATTATATACTGTACATAGATTCGCCTATTACTGTGTTCTCAAACCTAACTTTTAAGTATTACGTGCATGGATGTGCGTGTCATGACGGTCTGCGTAAGTGCACATGTACGTATGAGGGTGACGTGTGAGTGCTTTCGAAACTCTCACATCCGGACGTCTGATGTTGTAATGTCCTTTTAGGAAAAAGACGTTTTTGAAGTGCAAATACGGCCAGAAAAACGGTCGAATTTTGCGTTTTGTTCATAGGGTTATTTTTGTGACTTACGTGTTGTACATAGTTCTATATGAGTTGTGAGTTAGTGTGTTGAAAACTTGTGTTTTTTTCCGTTTGTTAAACCAACAGACGAGTTTATCATACCTGTCTTGTTTCTCAAAAAATATTTTCCCCTGTTGCAGAAACTGGCAATAGTTTTTTTTATCGTTCCATTTAACTACAGGGAAAACGGGGGAAAAATATACATATTTTTTCCTTTCTTTCTTCAATATCTAGTCTCGCGTGCAAGTGCAGCTGCGTGTTTGCGTGAGTGAATTTCCTTATTTGCGTGGACTCGGCAACGTATTGCTCAGTCTCACTGTCCAATCATAGAGATAACAAAAGAGAAAAAATCCTTAGCATAGAGAGGGACAGTCACCATAGATTCCTTTAGTTTCGCCTTCGTTAATCCTCCAGAATTGAGCGAAATTTCCACATTTGTAAATAACAGAATGTCTGAACCTCGAGGTAACCACGTTCAAGAATTTCTCTATCGTTCATTCTTTCATGTTCTTCGCTTTCTTCTTCCGTTCTCTTTTCCTTCTTTCTTTTCCTCACCTAATCTTTCTTTTCTTGTACTTGTTTTTCCTTCAATTTCCCTTTTCAACACGTTTCAGGTCTCCGTTTCCTCCCGCCCGGAGCACTTATTCTAGTCTTTCGAAAACTAGTCATTTCGGACAAAGAAAACGAAACTAAAAAAAAAAAAGAATAGATTTGATCCCAATTTTTAGATTTACAATTTGCAAATTTTCCAATACGCAGTGGTTGTTCAGTGTGCAAAGTACTGTTTCTGTATGATATTTAAAACAAATGTACTAAATAATTTTACGTACTTTAGAGAGTTAGAGAAGCAATGAAGGTTCAGGTCAGAGAAGCGACCTACCCCGAAAAAAGAGAAGAAAAAAATTACTCTGAAAAAGAGAAAATCCCTTGTAAGTCCCTAATGTAAATCCCCTTTTCCCGAGAGCTTCTTGTAAATACTATTAATATATCAAGTGGAATATTTCCATTAATTACAAACAATCACCAACCCCCTTTCCCCCCATCCTCCCCCCCCAAAAAATATGATAAACATGTTAATTACTTGTATAAAAACCTCACCATGGAGAGAGCTTTATTTTGATATTTATTTATTATCTTTAGACATATATCATTCATTATTTCCTCCCCATTCTTAGGCTTGCTGAATATTTGCTTGTTGCTTGTAGGTTGTAGTTTCATGAGCAGTGTTCTGATTTCACCTCATCCTCCTTATTATCCTTATAACAACGTTCTCTGTTTTCTAGACCTCTCTCTGTCGTCAGGTTTAAGTATTTATTAAGTGAAGTTGTGAAAGCAGTTATGATGCTCTTGTGACTTTTTTATGAATCCACTGTGTGATAATGACAAATTTAGACAAAAAAGAGAGATAATGATAATGATAATGATAATTATGATATTTGAATTTTCATATCAATAGCGGCCATGGTGCGGTTACCTTAGTATGTGCGAATTTTAGTAGCTAGAGAGAAAGTCAGTGAAAGAGAAAAAAATGGGAGAAAGATAGAGAGAATGTCCTTTTTATTATGTGAATGCCAGAGTTAAAGAGAAGAAATAGAGGATAAAGAACGAAGACATACCGAGAAGAAAAGAGGGTATGAGGACAATAACATTCGAAACGCCTTTGGACCAACAACAGAGATGGCTGCTTAGGCCCATCACAACAGAAAAAAACTTGGGCAACCGAGATAGCTTTCATCACACAGCCTATCTCCCTCCGTATGCCTCTCTCTGTTTTTCTCCCATGAATTCACTACTGTAAATATGCAAACGTTAGTGATAAATCCGACCCTGTAATGATGTTGACAATAATATTTATCCTTTTGCGTTCTGAGCACGATTTCTCCTCTCTCGCGGGTTCCGTTTCCTTCCGTTTTCTAAAGGTACCGATTCATGGCCGACAATGTTATTATTTCTTCTCATGTATATCGTATATTTCCGATTATCAACCACAAGCTTCTATGTAACTAAGATGTGCGTGTATTACTGGAGATGGATCACCTTCTGTAATAAAATAAATAAATATGTGACACGGTTGTTTTCATACCACCATTTCCTCGAGTAACTGAAATATAGCGTGAGACATGCGTGGACTGTTGCATAACCATTTGAATTGATAAAGAATTTCCTGGCGCTCATGGCTATGACAAAGATGGTTATAACAACAGAGTAATTTGCAACATTAGTGAGGATATTATGGAAACAATACAAATAATGTGAACTACAACGGTAATAAAACAAAATTAATATTAATTTCTACAATAATGAAAAAGATAATTTACAAAATGAAAAGAGATTATTTACAAAACAATACGACGGAGGATGATTTTAACAACACAATCAATAATAATGATTATGCTAATAGAAAGATGATACAGAAAGGATGAAAATCTTGCTATAATGAACAATAACAGAAATAATGATACTGCAAAAAGAATGCCAATGATAAAATGGCACAAAACATGCCAGTACTGGTAATGGTAGCAACAATAACGATACCTAACAATAAAATCAATACTAATGATATCATGAACATTATCAATGATAAGGACCATGATAAAAAAATATCAATAATAATAATTATAATCATAGTTAAAATGAGAATAATTGGGATAATAATAATGATGATAATGATGACGACAATGAAAAGGAAAAACAACAGCAATGCTAAGCACGATGCTCAAAATGAAAATATTGATGCTGATAGTAATGATAATGATACCGATAATTTTGATGATGATCACAATAATGAGAATAATGAAAATGATAATAATGATGATAATGATAATGATAATGATAATAGAATGATTGTGATAGAATCAATGAAAATGATGATGATAACAATAAAATAAAAATAATAGTAATGATATTAGTGATATTGATAATAATAATACGATGATAATGATGATAATGATGATTATGATAACAGTAAGTATATTAATGATGATACTGATGATGATATAATGTGATAATGAATCAATAAGAACTACGATGGTAATAAAAGAAGTAACAGTAATGATAAAAATCATAATTGCAATAATGATAAGAATGAATGTTATTAATAATATAATATAATAATATAATAATAAATATAAAATAAATGATAATAATGAAAAAAATTAATAATAATAACAATAATAAAATTATAATGATTAATAATAATAATAATAATAATAATAAATAATAATAATAATAATAATAATAATAATAATAATAATAATAATAATAATAATAATAATAATAATAATAATAATAAAATAATAATAATATAATAATAAATAATAATAATAACAATAATAATGATGATGATGATAATGATAATAATAATAATAAATAATAAAATAATAATAATAATAATAAATAATAATAATAATAATAATAATAATAATAATAATAATAATAATAATAATAATAATAATAACAATAGTAATATTAATAATAATAATGATGATAATAATGATAATAAAAGCAATAGTAACAATAATAATGATAATGATAATAAAGGCAATTATAATAATGATAATAAACACATAATGATAATAATAAAAATAATAATGATTATGATACTACTACTGATAAAAGTAACAATGATAAAAATGATAACAATAATGATAATGATATTATTAATAATAATAATATTAGTATCAATAATGTATCAATAATAATAATAATATAGTATAATAATGATGATAATAATGACAATGCTTTTGATAACTATAATAATGATAATAAAAATTATTTAATAATGATTATAATAACAATAACAACAACAATAACAATG